TTCATTCTACTTCTACTACTTACTGAGGTCCTAGTACATGCCAAGCACCGGTCTGGGCTTCAGGGACCCAGCCCTGATGGAGCAGACGTGGTCTCTAGGCTCATGACGGAGCTTATGATCTAACTTGCTGTCTCTTCTCACTCCATATACTCTTCCCAGATAATCTCATCCCCTCTCCAAGGCTTCTGCTGTCACCTGTATCCTCACAGCACCTTCTCTTTGCTCAGTTAACCCATAAGCCCATCCAACTATGTGCTGGGCAGTGCCCTGCAGGCATGCTCACTTGGAGTTGGCAATGAGGAAACCAACCTCCACGTGAAGAGGTGTGGTCAAACACCACAGCCGCGATGCTTACCCCAAATGGCCTTGTCCTCGGGAGACTCGCTCTAATCCCAGCTAAACCCATCAGGATGGAAACTTTGAAAGTGCTCTTTCTCTTTCCCACCTGCCCAGACGTGGATGACATGCCTCCCTCAAATCTCCACAGTGGAGCCAAAGCCAGGCTAGAACCTTTAGCAGGACTTTTCTGAAAACCTTTAGCCAGAGCTTTTCTGAAGGTCCCGAAGAATAGAAGGAAGTTAATTACCCAGCAGGTATAACTTACAATTGGCCATTGGATACAGTTCCTCCTAGAGCCCACTGGCTTGGATGGTCCTCATTGGATCTCGGCCTACACTGGCCACCCAATTAGAGCAGCAGTCTTCTCCCTTCCCCACACCCCATGACCACCTAGAAACCCATTAAACTCACCTAGAGCAGGTCCTTAGAGAGGAGAAGAAGCCTTCTTTACCTGTTGCCTAAGGTTCACATTCTAAGACCACAGTTTCTATCTCAGAACTTGCTTCTTCCAAGGAAGGTTGATCATGAATGTCTCCTCCCTTCCAGGGAGACTTCCGTCAGCCTTAGAGATTGTGGTCTTTCCTCATGACCTGACAAAATAATCTAACTCTGTATAGAAAGTACACAGAAGATTGTGGTGTGAGAAGAAAGATGAGGAGAATGAGAAGTGTTCATTTCCAAAGGCACCTCACACTCAATACATACAAGGGTGGACCCCCCAAAAACAGGAATTATAACCCATCTGTATCAGTATGCCAATGGTCCCACTGTCTGACATGTATGACCTTGGGAAATGCCCTTTCAGTTTGAGGATGAACTGGACCTACTTACTTGCTTTTAATTAATAGAAGACAGCAAAAGGGATGGGATGTCACCTCCCAAAATAGGTTGTAGAAGACTTTGACTTCTGTTTTGCTCTCTCTCCCTCTCTGTCTCAACCTCTCTCGCTCTACCTCTTATCTCTTGCTTGCTCTGGTAACGCTAGCTTCCATGTTGTGACTGCCCCGCGGCGGGGCCTCATGGCAATGAGCCACAGGTGGCGTCAGCCGGTGAGAATGGAACCCCGCCAGCAACTGTGTGAGTGGGCTGGGAAGCACATCCTTCCCCAGCCGAGCCTTGAGATAAATGCAGCCTCAGCCAACAAATCGATTACAGCTTAAAGAGAGACTGCGAGCCAAAAGACCCAGTTAAGCTGTGCATGCGTCCCTGACACACAGAAACTGTGAGGTAATAAATGTTGTTCTGAGCTACTCATTTTGGGGATAATTTGTTATGCAACAATAGATAACTAATACAGAGATTAAATAAAGTGATACGGATAAAGGGCTTAGAATAATGCCTAATGCACAGTCAATAAACACTAGCTATTTTCACCACCATTATTATTATTTTAGACATACCACTAGACTGAAAGCTCTGTGAGGGGAGGAACAATGCTTCCCTATTTGCCCATTGGGTCCCAAGCTCTGGTCTAATGCTAGGCATAGAGTCCTTTAGTCAACAGTAAATACTTGTTGACTATGAGAAAGAACAGGAAGAGTCTACAGCCATGCCACCCTGAATGTGCCCGATCTCGTCTGATCTCAGAAGCTAAGCAGGGCCGGGCCTGGTTAGTACTCGGGTGGGAGAAAGAATAGGAAGGAAGGAATTTAGGGTCTTCCAGACTCTTACATCCAGGCCCGGAAGGTGGACGAGCAGTCAGAGGGCCCAGCTTCTCCATCCAGCCAGAAGATGGGCTGAGTAAAGTGGTAAGGGACCATCCCCCACCGGCTGGAGGACAACGTCCCTTTGTGGTGTCAGAGCCTTCTGGAGCCCAAGCAGCACATTTCCCAGGAACACAGTTATCACAAAGCTAGCCCTTGTGTCTGCCTGGAAGGCACACAGAAAACAATGACACCATCGTCACCAACCTGCTCTCCTGGCCAGTGTGTAGACAGGGAGGGCAGGGGAAAGGCTGTTTGACTTGGCTGGATAACACGGTTTTTCTTGACTGGAGAAATGTATGCCAAGGGGCTGAAAGTAGAAGGTGGTTCTTACCCAAGAGATTGCTATTCCCCAGAGCCCTGTCTTCCAATTACACATCGCCTCCTCCTGCTGTAAGGCTCAGGCCAAATGTCTCCTCCTCCATGATGCCCTTCCCAGCTTCCCCTGTTCCTGCTGTGCCCTGGGCCTAGTGCCTCCCTTTGAGCACGCTGTACTCCCAGCCTTAGTGAGTGCATTCCCAGACCCGTCCAGCTGTTGGGGCAAACTTGCTTGCTTTTGATCCCTCCTCTCAGCAGAGGTCACAGAGTAGGCGCCGATGCTGAGGGAAGTGCAGCACGCTGTTGCATTCTGCAGTTCGGGAATGGCAGGAATAAATCTCTAGCAGGCATGAGACCTCCCCCGCTCTTGCCGAAGAATATGGAGAGAAGATAAGGGTTCTGTGCGTCTGGTCCTTGTGGGGAAATTCTCTGACTCCCTGGGTTAAGACAGTCAGGACTGCAAGGTGCGCCACCCGCCACCCAAAATCTGAGCTACTCGAGCTGCAATCAACCAAACGACCTCACACCTCTGTGCATGGACAAGGACTCTACCTTAGCCTAAGCCAGTGTTTCTCAAAGTGTGGTTCCGACCAGCTGCATCAGCTTCACTTAGGACCTTGTTAGAAATTCAAATTTTCTGACCCTATCCCAGACCTACTGGGTGAGAAGCTGTGGAAGCCAGGCCCAGCCATCTGCGTCTTAAGTCCTCCATGTGATTCTGGTGTATGGTTAAGTTTGAAAACCACCATTTTAAGTACACTGAACCGCATGTAAAATAAGACTTTGGAAATATAATCCAGATTGATTTAAAATTAAGATTAAATGAGAACCCAAGCCAATGCCCCTTGCTATAAAATGCCCAGAATCAATGAAACTCCCTACTATTCTCTATGAAACAGTTCAACAGGCAATTAAATGAAATCAGCACATTTATTTTAAATGTGCAAAATGAATTTTCATATCTGAAAAGTAACACCAGATGTTTTTACCTCTTTTTCCTAATTGATTTTCCAGCCTACAGCAATTCATCTTTCTGTTTTCCAGTTGGATCCTAATGCAGCAAGAAGAGTGTGTTCCGGCAGGATTATTAAATGCCATGCATTTTAAAACAAGCACAACTCGGGCCGCCATGCATCATCTGAGTGCTTGTCTTCCTTCCCCCATGCCCGGCTCCCCCCGCCCCCTCCCACCCAAAAAAGGACAGCTCTAGGTACCAGGCACCTTTGAGCAGGCAGAAAACCCAGAAAAGGCCCTTTCAGGGGGCTGGGTTTCCCAGCTCTTGGCTGGCTGCAAAGCTAAGTCCTGGGCACTGAGCCCAAGCCTGAGCTCTTCTCCAGAGTCCTGCGCTCCCTGGTACAGAAGGATTTGCTAGCTGTAAAATCTGCAAGTCAACATTTTGTTTTTCAATGGGAAGTTTTGTCTTTAAAATGAGGAGAAAAACAGAGGCGGGGAGGTGGAAGGTGAGCGGGGCCCCTCCCTGCTCTGCCCTAGGAGAAGCCCAGACAACGCACCCCCCCCCCCCCCCGTTTGTTGGCCAGTGGGCCTTGCAGCCCGGGAGGCCCTGGGCCCGGGGTGTTTTAAGTGGGTGAAAGGTCACCAGCGACCAGGTCTGCCTCCCTCTACAAAAGTTCTGGATTGTCTCGGGAAAGACAGGGAAACAGAAGCCTCAAGCTTTAAAGCAAACTTCAAAAAGGATCTTGTCTGTCTCTGCCCAGGGTGTGGGGAGAGGGGAGGAGGGGGAGCCGCTAACTGCTAGAAACCCAGAAAGTGCTGATTCCTTACACAAAAACCACACTTCTTCGGGAGCTGGGAGAGGTTGGCACTATCAAACTACTGTCTCTAGGAGCTGCTTAGAGTTGGCAGGTCTGAGCCGTCATGCCTGTACAGGATTTTCATGTGGCCTCCAAGTATAAATCTGCCTTGTCTGGTTCTGAGACCCCCTGCAGCAGGCTAAGTGTCTGAAATTAGAGCTCATCAGGATTAAATCTCAAAACGTGGCTGCTCCAATTTTAAATAACAGCCACCCAAAACCTCCAGCGTGCTGTCCCTGACATGGCCATTCTCGGCACTTAGAATAAAGTATGCTGGCTTCCTTAGAGACAAGCACTCAGATGGCAAGTTCCATGGTTGAGGTCAGCTCCTGATTTGGTCTGTACCCAGGAGCTCCGGCCCCAAAGTAACAACATAAAATTTCATGGGTTACGGTGTAACCCCTTGAGCAGCTGAAGGAAACCCAGTAACCGGCCTTCTAGACAGACAGCCTGGCCCTGCACCAGTGAGTAGTGGGAAAATGTTATCTAAGTTTAAAATAAACACATGACAACCCCAAGTTTCAAGGAATAGGGAGTAAAAGCCTCTCACGAGACACATGTTTTTAACACAGATAGTACACATTAGGTCAAAAGTTTTGACACTGGGTGCCTGGGTGACCCACTTGGCCTTCCTCTGGGACTGGGACCGGAGCAACCTGGTCTCCCATGGGCACCCAACCCCAACACGTCCCCGAAGGAACTGCATCCTTACTACACATGCTATCAGGGAAATGGGGTTGGTGGGAAGACCAGGCCTTTCCTAGCAGAATTCTTCTCTTGCCCTCAATTCACTAGGGTACTTTTACATACTATTAAACCACAGGAGCCATTTTATAAATGTCATCAGCATAATTTTTTAATATTTTACATAAAAAACTGTATACACAGCTTATAGAACTTTTATGTAAACATCATAAGCTCACCACTTTGTCATTTGTCATTTTATTTAAAAAATAAAAAACAACCAAGACAACAATTTAGTAGAAGTACCACTGGGTGGGGAAGGGAGGGAGAGGAAGGAGGCTAGGGGCAGGTTCATTCTCTGTACAGAAATGCAGAGAAAATTTCACATAGCTTTAGATACTGCCTTGTGAAAAAAAAAAAGGGGGAGGGGGTTTTAAAGAGGCCCCAAAACTTGTTACTGCCCTTTATTAAAATAGTGTGCATACCTGCACAAATAAAATCGCAAAACAGTGTTGCCACTTTAAAAAAAATTAGTGGTTTTTTTTTCCTCTCATATTTTAAAAGTCATCATCATTTTTCCTTAAAACATCAGTAGATGAGGTTACAGCGTACAAGTGTGGTCAGAATGCTACTGTCTTATGCAAATGACAAGTGCATTAAGTGTCAAACGATGAAACAATTGTGCAAAGAATTCTTTCAAAAAAAAAAAAACCCAACAAGTTTTAGCCTTTAAATAAATCAAATAACATCAGTTTCTTGGACTGAACAATTTTCACTTGTAGGACAGGCACAAAGTTCGCTTATGGCAAAACACGCCCCGCAGCACACTCTCCCTCCTCCTGCCCACAGCTGGTGAGGGGTTCGCTGGAGGCTGGCGTGCAGGAGACGTCAATCTGGAAGCTGTGTCCTCTCAGCCCCAAGTCAGTTGCAGCCGTCTTCCCCACGGGCTGGAAAGGCGACCAAGTCCTGTTCACGCTTGGATGGGCGCCTGACCCAGGCTAGGGCTGGTCCACGCCCTGTCACTCCACCCACCACCACCATTAAATAACACCATCCTACCTCCGAAAATAAAATTAAATCTATATTTATATAACACCCTACCCTCCCCAGCCCCACCCCCCTCCCGCAGTTCCCGTGGTCTATGTTACAGACAAGAGATAGCAGGAGCTCGCTGGTTATGGGCGAACATTTCATGGGGCGCGGCAGCACCCCGAGCCAAACTCCTCTTGGGGACCGGGGAAGAGGGGGGCGGTTAGGGAGGAGGAGTCGAAACCTACACACAGCCACACACTCTGAAGAGGCTTGGCTCTTCTGAAAAGGGTGCTCAGGGGACCCTTGGCACTCAGTGGGGCGCCTGGGCCTGTGCAACACAGCCGGACGCACACAGACACTGGAAAAGGGGCGCCCGGTGCCTCCCACGCCGATTCCCGGCGCCAGAGCCACAGCCGCCAGGCGATGGCTGCCGGGTGGGAAGGCAGACTCCAGGCAGTCCGGTGGGGTCCTTGGGAAGACTGGCCCGGGAGGCGGGGCCATGCCGGCAGGGGCGGGCAGGCAGGCGGGCGGGCGAGGTCCTCATAGCACCTTGCAGCAGTTGATGCAGCCGTTCTGGGAGCCGTAGCGCTTCTGCAGCGCGGCGCGCGTGGCTGTCTCGAAGACCTCGCGCACGCCCTCCTTGGTCTTGGCCGAGCACTCGAGGTAGTCGTAGGCTTGGATGCGCATGGCCATGGCGCGGCCGTCATCAGTGCGCACGGGTTCCTGCTTCATGCGGGCCAGCTCGGTGCGGACGTGCTCGTCACTGCGCAGGTCTTTCTTGTTGGCCACCAGGATGATGGGCACGTTGGGGCAGAAGTGCTTCACCTCGGGCACCCACTTCTCGGGGATGTTCTCCAGCGAATCCGGGCTGTCCACCGAGAAGCACATGAGAATCACGTCGGTGTCCGGGTAGGAGAGCGGCCGCAGGCGGTCGTAGTCCTCCTGACCCGCCGTATCCCACAGCGCCAGCTCCACCTGCTTGCCGTCCACCTCGATGTCGGCCACATAGTTCTCGAAGACAGTGGGCACGTACACCTCGGGGAACTCGTCCTTACTGAACACGATCAGCAGGCACGTCTTGCCGCACGCGCCATCGCCCACCACCACCAGCTTCTTGCGGATGGCCGCCATGAGCGCGCCGGGCCCGGGCAGCAGGAGGGGACCCGCGATCGCCTCGCTGCCGTCCCGCTCGCCGCTCACTGCTCACCTCGAGCTGCGCGCTGGGGACAAGAGTCGCTAGCTGCACCCAGACCCCGCGGTGGCGCCTCCTCTTAGTGCGCTCCGGCTGCCGCGGCGGGGGCGGTGGGGGCGCGGGGGCATAGGGCGCACCGTACGTCTCCGCGCTGCTCCCGGGCGACGGCCGCTCTTCTCGCCCCGGACCCGAGGTCGGCGCCTTTGTGCGCAAACCGTAGCTCAAGCAGCGGACCAGGCCGAGCTTTCCACCGGGCCTCTTTAGGCCTTGCCAAGGGATCTGGAGAGCTCACGACTACGGCCAGACTGCGGTGGCAGACGAAAGCTGCGGCCCTAGCGCCCGCTATTTAAAGAGTTCGGCCACTTTCTTAATATAGCCGCCCAATGGGAAGCGAGCCGACTGAGCTCATCGCTGCGGATTTCGGCTTTGATTGGCCGATTGCTGCAGCCCAGAGGCGGGGCCGGACACACTTGATTGACGGCCCAAGGCGCCGGGCTGGGAGAGGCGGTGACTAAGGAGTCTGCGCTCGGGTAGGCATTGCGGGGCTCTGGGGCCACCAGGGTTCCGTTTTACCTGCAGCTTTTACGCGCGGTGCCGGAGCCCCGGTGCTGGCTGCGTGGAGTCCGCGGGACCTGGCGAGTAGTGCTTAGAGAGGCGGCACTTTGTGGAGTGTTGACGAATTCTTCCCACTCAAAATCCCCCTTTTCTTTGCAAACTCCCGGCGGGTGGTCAGATCCGTGGGGGACGGGGCGGCTTCTTTAACGTGGTTTTATTTTCAAATAAACACACACACACGCACACACGTTTGTTTCCAAGCAAGGTTTTTGGTTTGTTTGGGTTTTTGTTTTTTGGTTGTTTTTTGTTTGTTTGTTTGTTTGTTTTTCCCTTTTAAAAGCGGCCCCTCCCTGGTCTAGTCGGCCACCCTATCCCCCTCACCCGGTTATTCCCTGGGGCAGCCCGAGGTTTGGACCCGTTGATTCCGGAGCCACCGTGAGATGGCTGGACCAGAGAAAAGCCTCGCGGCTCCGCCAAGTCCTACTGCCTACCCCGGCCTGGGTCTCTAGATGAAAATTAGGGAAAAGAGGAACACTGAAAAGGGAAGGATGAAACTGGTTGCAGAATTTTATGTCCACTTGGAGGAAGTTATGATGCAGAAAAAAGAAAAATATAGCCTGGACCCCGGATTACTTTGGACCCTGGTCGCCTGAAGAAGATAGTACAATAAAATTTAACCACCCCACACACCCCGTTGGGCAAGAAGAGGCTGGGGGAAGAAACTCGAAGGTTGAGACACAGCAAATTCGTCCTGGTGGGGTGCTGGGTCCCTAGTCTCCTGTCACACACCCACGCTTAATTCATCCATCCCACAGATCCTGCAGGAGATGACACATCAGATCTGGAAGAACTTAGGTGAGGGCTTTCAAAGGACAGAACAGGTAGGAAGTGGGGAGGGGAAGCAGCGTTGGCCTTCCGGGAAGCAGGAGCAGCATGAACAAAAGCAGAGGTGTGAAGAGGAAGACAAAGGCTAGGAACAGGGACTGGCTTAGTGTGGCTGCACTGGATGGAGAAAGTTGAGACTCGGGTTGGAGCCCATGGTGGAGGGCCAGAGCGCCAACTGAGCGGGTTGGCCTTACAGCAATTGGGGAGGCAGGGCAATGCCTGTCAGGTTTTCAGCAAAGGGGAGACCCACCACATCAGGTTTTTGCTTCATATTTCCTGCTCCCTCTGTACATCTGGAAGCTGTTGGAGAGCCAGGATTCTTTCTGATCTCCACATCTTGAAGATCTAGCACAATGCCTGACACTGCAAGAGTCTGCAAATGACTGGAGAATTCATTTAAATGTTCAGAAACTCAGTTGGAACTTTCTGGGGGTCTCCTACCTCAAACTCCAGATTCTGCTTGAACAACCGTCCGATCAAACCCACGCCACCAGCTGTAACTGAGCCCTGGTGTTTTTACCTATGATTCATAAATTGAGATCTAGGTCTCTAAAATGGACACCACAGATAGAAAATCGGGTCGAATAAGACCATGATACATTATGCCACCAGCTCCTAGGGCCCATCCTATAGAGAACAACACATTCAAAGGACCAAACTGCTTCCTTCACAGTGAATTAGCTCCACACAATGCCCAGCTTTTTGTTTTGTTTTACTTTTGTTTTTCAGATCTAAGGGACTGAACTGTCAATAAGTAAATAATTTTTCCACAGTGGGATCCCATGGGAGAAAGTAAGTTATTTTGATCATTGGCTTAGTGTTATCGAACAGAAGCACTTTGTCCACCCGGCACTCGCAGAGCCAGACACCAAGAACTGCAGTAAAGGAAGACTGGCTATTTTATTATGAATGGCACCACCCAGGAGAATGGGAAGCTAATGCTAAAAAAATTTTAAAAAAAGCCTGCTCCCCAGTGTTGTGTAGGTTATAGATGGATTATATAGGACAAAATCGTAAGACACTGTGGGTTAGAGGGTTCAAGGTTGTGCTGGAACTGATTGGTAAGAGGTGAGGTAAGGGTAATAAATCATTTCTTCAGGTCTTGAGGACAGTTCTGAAATCCATTAAATCGTCCATCCCTCTGTCTGGTTTCATGGACAAGTAACTAGGGAGTCTTTCTACCTTAGGGCTCTGGAGCTGAAACAAAACTTAGGTCAAGATGTTATCTTTAGCCTGCCAGAGATCCAGAACTCTGACCACTAGGTTCAGCTACTGTCTTCCGCTGCCTTGGGGGTTGCTGATTATCAATGGAAAGGGCTAGGTCTCTGAGGGGTATACACAGAGAAACCACGCTATGATTTCTAGAGCTAGGATTTAAAATTGAATTTAATCAAAGTCATAAAGACCCTCAGTTTTATTAGGGACCCAGTCTGGAAATTTTTTATTTCCCTCCTTATCCTCCTTTTTGCTTTTTCTGTTTCTTTTTCTTCTTTTCTTTTTTTTCTTCTTTTTTTTTGTTAACATATTAGAAAACTTGTATCTGAATTTTTCTTTTTTTAGTCAAAAACTTTTATAGCTGTATTATTAACACTGCTTTCCTTGGTCTTAACATAGGTTGGAAATCCTGGCCATGTTCTTTAAGCTTCAAATATTTTAAGAAATCAATTAGAAGTTTGTGCTGTGTGTTTTTTAAAAAACTGAAATACAAAGAATCAGGAAGAATGATTTAGTTCACTCATTTTCTGATTTTCAGATACATTATATGAGGTGTTCCAAGCTTGAATTTCCGTAAAATAATTTCTAAAAATATTCAGCTGGTAAATATGCCAAAGTAAACAAACGGAAAAATCTGTGTTCTGCAGCAACTTCTTTTCATGGTATTTTTTTTTTTTCTCCAGGATACTTCTGTCCAACGCAAGCTCTGAGGAGACTGGCTACTTCAAAGATTGCTCCACTCACAGGATAAACTTTTCCAAACTAGGTGATGTGCCTGTCTCCCCGCTTCCTGGTACACTCCCACTGAAAAGCACGGATAAAGTTGATTGTCTATGAGAACAAATTATTTTAATAATTAACTTCATTAACATAGATCCATTGTATGACAGATACGCGCGCCAGTGAGAGAAGGATGTTATCCTTCAGACAAGAGAAGGATGTTAATCTGCCTCCAATCTTCATCTTAATTTATTCGGTCTTTATTTTGCCTGGTGTCTCCTATAGATCTGTAAATCACCCCCTACCTCCCCCCAGAAGAAAACCAGAGACTGGAGTGTTCATTAGATGTTAGCGCCACCTTGTGGCAATCTTTATATGTCTTTTTTCCTTAAAAAAGCAAGCCCATATGATTATTTTAAAACCTTATCTAATTAAAAAACATGCATTTTGTGACTTTTTATTTTGAGATATATCATGGAATTTAAAATCCTAAAGGATGTTTTAAAAAATTCTTCACATATATGCTTATACACATTTAACTCTTTATATGCACTTTTAAAAAAATTAATTCCTAGTTAAATAGTAACATAAAAAAGAGTTACCATAAAGAGTTACATAAAAAGTTACTAAAAAGAGTTACATAAAGGCTATAGATAGTTTAGATAAAAATGGACTTCGTTGTTTAATTATAATGTACATAAATGTAAAACAACTTCAACCACAAAAATCTGTTTTTTCTTACAGTTTTAAAAACGCCATTATTGGATATTCTGGTATAATTAGAAGTAATAATTCATTTACCAATAAACATTTACTGAGAGCCATTACTTATAGCTAACTGATTTTTTAATTTTCTTCTAATTTAAGGAGTAGCTTAAAATCTCTAGGAAAATCTTCAATCTCCATCTCAATGCAATGAGTTTTAAAAAGGGACAGGCTCTCCTAGAATAGCCATACTATTTCTCATGGGAAAACCGACAAGGTCCCACCTGGTTGGTTTGGGACCGATTCAACCATGAGTTATGTAATTAAGCAATCAAGCTACTTTCCAGGGTTTCCAGCTATGAGCAGCAGCAGGTAAAACCTCCCTCACCTGCCCTGAGGTAGTGACCCAGTGTAACCCAGGCCTAAGACAGAGACTGGGCTCCCAGGAGAATCACCATGGCTACACCGTTCAACTTCAGAATGTGGGCATTGAACTCTGATCAGACCCCCTATCTGCCCCCTATCTGCCCAGCCCAGAAAAGTAGGGAGGGCAACAGAGCAGCTCCTAATAGCTCTACAACTACACTGTCCCCTCCAGTAACCAGCCGCACGTGGCTGTTGAGCACTTGAAATGCTGCTGTTGCCACTGAGGAAGTAAGTTTTTAATGTTACCTAATTTTAATTAAATTAAAATTAGATTTAAAAACTGATATTCAGGGTGGGGGAAATAGGGAGGCGTTAGTCAAAGAGTATAAACTTCCAGTTATAAGATGAATGAATTCTGAGGACCTAATGAATAGCATGATGATTGCAGTTATTAATACTGTTATATACTTGAAAGTTGCTAAAAAAATATGTTAAATGTTTTCCTCACAAAAAAGAAACCATAATTATGTGGTGTGATGAAGATGTTAGCTATGGTGGTAATCATTTTGCAACATGTATCAAATCAACACATTGTGTGCCTTAAACTTATACAATGTCATATATCTCAATACAGCAGGGTTGGGGGGGGTAAGGGGGAAGAATTGAATGAATACTGATATAAATCACTAAAAAAATAAAAATAATACTTGGTTCAATTATTGAGCAACTTTTATTTATGTTTGAAACAACATGGATGTGTGAATCTGCCTTTTCCTACTGGAAAATTTATGAAATCTAAATACAGATTGAGTATTTTTTCTATGAAAATTTAGTGCCCAAACTGAGATGTGCTGTAACTACAAAATAAATGCTAGAATCTGAAAACTTAAATGGAAAAACATATTAAAAAGTTCATTAATAATTT